ACAGGATTTTTTTAATTTATTTTTTTATTTTGAGTAAAGTTTCCAAACATTTATTTTTTTTTATTTGAAATTATAATTTTTTTTCGCTTTTCTTTTCATTAAAAATAATTTTTCATACATTTTCTCAACATTTTCGTAAAATGATTTTCTATTTAAATTTTTTTTCATTTTAATTTTTATTTCGTTAGAAATAATTTTTTTTTAATTCTGGTTAAAATTTTAATTATTCAGATTTATTATTTAAATTATTTTATTTTTTTTCTTTGTTTCTATTTAAAATTTTTCGTTTGTATTGTCACATGATGAATTTTTTTCACATTGTTTGTTTAATTGTTTTCTATTCACCTTTTTCGTAATTGGCGGGAAAATGCTTCCCTCCATTTTTCCCCTTCCAAAAAAAATTCTCTTATGTATTAATGCAATATGTTATTTTTGGCGCGAAAAAAATTTCCCCTCAATATTTTTGTTTTTTTTTTACAGCAAACATCCCCATGAATGAAGAATGAAATGTGCATGTTTTTTCTTTTCCAGCTAATTTTCTACCATGTAAAAAAAATTCTATCTAATTTTATATTTGTCTCTGTCTATGAAAAATTTGATGGGAAATATTTTTTGATTTCTAAAGGCAGAATTTCTCTATTCAAAAACCAATTTTTTTAAAGAAAATTATAAATTAGTATTTTTTAGTAAAATAATTATTAAAATTTTATATTTTGACTAAAAATTAATAGAAAATAGTAAATACTTAATAATCAATAGGAATACAATATTTTTGTAACGTTGGAAAAATTCCATGAAATTTCTTTGTACTCTGTACTTTGTAATAGCAAAAACGAAATTATTTTTAATATAATTTTTTTTTTGCAAAAATTTGACAAATTATTGTGAAAATTAATAAACAACTGATTAATAAATTATTTTAGAATATTTTTAAATTAAAATGAATTTATTTTTTCCAAAATATGTTATTTTGAAAAAATATTGCCGTTTGTTGATGAATGTTCGTCCATTGGTAGTATATGATATTGTAAGGAATTTTTAACTTTTCCAAACAATTAATGACTTTTTATGAATAATGTTTTATTTTGGTGTAAATATACAAATTCTGAAATGTTTTTTAAGAAATTTTTATAAAAGTTAATAAGATTTGAGCTTTCAAATTTATTTGTAGAAAAAGTTTTCTTCATTGAAAATATGCCAACAAGAGGATTTCTGCTGTCATAGACCACATAATAAATTTAATTTTTTCTCACATAGAAAATGTAAAATTGGTCAATATTTTTGTTTTATCCTAAAGTAAACATATCAGGCTATATTATCAAAAAGAAATTTTACGAAAATTTTCAAAATTTTTTGGATTTTTTCCAAATTTAGTTAGAAATTTGTGATTTCAAATTCATAATCTTTGAAGTTAAACGTCTATAACTCGCTAACGGCTAATGATAATAACATGAAATATCTTTTAAAATGAAGCCTGAAATCTATACTTTCGAAATGTAAAATATCTTTTTCGAGAATTTTCTAAGCTTCCTCGCAAAAATTTTATTTCTCCGAAAACTTTTGTAAAAAATTTAACACGCTTCCACACAATAATTCGAAAAATATACCAATTGACTACTATGCACTTCTCATCTTTTCGATGTACCTATGTTATACGGCTCGACCAATAACAAAATAGTAGTACACATAAATTTGTGAGTGTATTTGTGTTAACAGTGAAATATAAAAACAGTGAAATATAAACATGTCTGACGCCGCCGTTGCTGAAACCACCGCCTCCCCAGTTGCCGCTGTTGAGAAAAAGGCACCAAAGAAGGCCGCTGCCAAAGCAAAGAAACCATCAGCTGCTCCAACTCATCCACCAACCCAACAAATGGTAGATGCAGCCATCAAAACATTGAAGGAACGTGGAGGTTCTTCATTGCCAGCCATCAAGAAATATTTGGCCAGCACCTACAAAGTAGATGCCCAAAAATTGGCCCCCTTCATCAAGAAGTACTTGAAGAGTGCTGTTGCCAGTGGAAAATTGATCCAAACTAAAGGTAAGGGTGCTTCCGGTTCATTCAAATTGTCCGCTTCGGCTTCCAAGGAACCCAAAGCAAAGGCTGCTGAAAAGAAAAAGAAGGCCCCCGCCGCTGGTGAAAAGAAAAAGAAGGTCGCCCCTAAAAAGGCTGCTGGCGAAAAGAAGACAGCTGCCAAAAAACCATCTGCCGCCAAAAAGACCGCTGAAAAGAAGAAGGCTGACAAAACAAAGGCCAAGGCTGCCAAGAAAACCGGTACAGTTAAGGCAAAACCCGCAAAGACCGCCGCTAAAGCATCTGCCACCAAACCAAAGGCACCCAAGGCAAAAACAGCCGCTGCTAAGCCCAAAAAAGCCGCAGCACCAAAGAAGCCAGCTGCCAAGAAAGCCGCCGCCAAGAAGTAATTTTTTCCACAAAAATTACTTTTTCAAGAATTTTTTCGATATTCGAAAACATAATATCTAACAGCCCTTTTCAGGGCTACAAATTAAATATTAAAAGAGACAAAATATTTATTTCATACTATTTACTAATTATTTTATTATTTTACTACCTAAATAAATGAGAAAATCCACACGTGTTTTAATTTTAGGAAAAGTTTAGATTTTGCTAATTAGAGTATTAGGTAAAAGTGTGCCTGCTTATTTATGGACATTCCAGAAAATGACGCCACAAATGGATTATTTTTTTTAATCCAGGTCATAAACTTTTATAATTTGCAATTACCTAGTGGTAAACATATTTTAATATTTTCTGCTTAATTTTTGAATTTCGTAAATTTTCTTCAAAATTTGTAAATCGCCCCTTTAACATTACAAAAACTAAATATTTTAATATTTTCTACAATTTTTGAATTTCGTTAATTTTCATCAAAAATTTATAATCACCATTTTAAAAATATTTTTCTTTGGAAAGAATTCCACCACTAATTTTTTTCCCGCCAAAAAATCTCTCAACTTCATATTTGCCATTTGCCTTTGCTGTACTGAAGAAAAAATGCTTGTACATAGATGTTGCCCATTCACATATTCGTTCGTATGGCACTGATGTCTACTATAGCACAACGAACTAAAATCGCACCAATACATACACACATACGACTGCTTGTGCGATATGTTGTTATACCCATATAGCACAAGTAACCAAGCAACGACTAACAAAGCAAGCAACGGCGTTGGCATAAGGCAATGTGAGTTAGTACAAATGAATGGAAATATATTATTTTCAGTGAAAATATGGAATTTTAATTTTTTTTGTAGAATTTTGGTATTTATTGAAAAAAAAAAAAATGTATGTAATGAAAAAAGACGAAAGAAAAAAATGTTGGTTTGATAAAATATAATTTATTTATGAAAAATAATATTCTGAAAAAAAAAAATTAAAAATATGGTTTAAAATATTTTTTTTTAATTTTATTTATTTAAAAATTTTCTTTATTAACTAAAAATGCATAAATATGGTTTCAACAAAAATTTGATCTCTTTTAAAATATTTTTTGTGGCCCTGAAAAGGGCCTTTTATGGTTGAATTTCGACGAATAAATGAAAAATCAAGGCATTTACTTGGAGCTGGTGTATTTAGTAACAGCCTTGGTACCTTCACTGACAGCGTGCTTAGCCAATTCACCGGGCAACAATAGACGAACGGCAGTTTGGATTTCCCGACTGGTGATGGTCGAGCGCTTGTTGTAGTGAGCCAAACGGGAGGCTTCGGCGGCAATACGTTCGAAGATATCATTCACAAAACTGTTCATGATGCTCATGGCCTTTGAGGAAATACCAGTATCAGGATGGACTTGCTTCAACACTTTGTAAATGTAGATAGCGTAACTCTCCTTACGCTTGGTACGTCTCTTCGATTTATCGCCCTTGGTGATGTTCTTTTGGGCTTTGCCGGCCTTCTTTGCTGCTTTACCACTGGTTTTAGGAGGCATTTTTCACTTATTTTTTTTTTAAATCACACAAACACTTTTAACACTGTTCACAGAATAAAAATACAAGGGCAGCCAACTACATATTTGTAGATTAAAATGTTCAACAATTTCAGGTAGTCACAGCTGCTATGTATAATACATAGCTACACACCCCTAAGTATAGTAATGTGTGTGCGAGAAAAGTATAAAATTCTGTTGCGCAAAGTTGCTCCAGTATTTCTGCTCGTGACAACAAGAAGACTCGTATCATTCCCCGTCACTTGCAATTGGCCATCCGTAATGACGAAGGTGTTACTATCGCCCAAGGTGAAAACATCCAAGTGTTTCTTGCCCAAAAATAAATTATAAAGGTATTATGGAAATACAGTCATCGTATAAAACACAAAAAATCCATACAAAATCAACCAATCCGTCCTTTTCAGGTATTTAAAAAGAGAAAAAATCATTTCAAACCATATTTATTTCATTAGTTAAATTTATTAAAAATAAAATAAAAAAATTCCAAAAAATATAAATTTTTCTCAATCGTTGGTACATTTATTGCAGTCAATTTGAGTTTGCACCGTTATAATTCGAGGTATTTTGAAGAAAAAGAAGAAGCATGCGTTGTGTTATGTTGTTTTTGCAAGGGGAATTTAAAACGAAAAGCAACTATGATCAACAGAAATAACTTATGAAAAACAAATAACACACACGCATATACAAATTTTAAGAAACTTTTTTTTGGATGTTTTTTCATCCATATTCAGTTCTACATTTGAATGTCTTTTTTCCACTATAAATGTTTATTTTTAACACTACTCCAAATAAGGAGCGAACACAGTAAGTTTCACTTTGCTTTGTAGCTTGTTTTATTTCACTTCACTAGATGCGCACACAAACACTGTTAACACTGTAATAAAAATTGCCTTGGCACCCCGTAGTATTTATACTTTTCTCGCACACACATTACTATACTTAGGGGTGTGTAGCTATGTATTATACATAGCAGCTGTGAACCTGAAATTGTTGAACATTTTAATCTACAAATATGTAGTTGGCTGCCCTTGTATTTTTATTCTGTGAACAGTGTTAAAAGTGTTTGTGTGATTTAAAAAAAAAATAAGTGAAAATGCCTCCTAAAACCAGTGGTAAAGCAGCAAAGAAGGCCGGCAAAGCCCAAAAGAACATCACCAAGGGCGATAAATCGAAGAGACGTACCAAGCGTAAGGAGAGTTACGCTATCTACATTTACAAAGTGTTGAAGCAAGTCCATCCTGATACTGGTATTTCCTCAAAGGCCATGAGCATCATGAACAGTTTTGTGAATGATATCTTCGAACGTATTGCCGCCGAAGCCTCCCGTTTGGCTCACTACAACAAGCGCTCGACCATCACCAGTCGGGAAATCCAAACTGCCGTTCGTCTATTGTTGCCCGGTGAATTGGCTAAGCACGCTGTCAGTGAAGGTACCAAGGCTGTTACTAAATACACCAGCTCCAAGTAAATGCCTTGATTTTTCATTTATTCGTCGAAATTCAACCATAAAAGGCCCTTTTCAGGGCCACAAAAAATATTTTAAAAGAGATCAAATTTTTGTTGAAACCATATTTATGCATTTTTAGTTAATAAAGAAAATTTTTAAATAAATAAAATTAAAAAAAATATTTTAAACCATATTTTTAATTTTTTTTTTTTTCAGAATATTATTTTTCATAAATAAATTATATTTTATCAAACCAACATTTTTTTCTTTCGTCTTTTTTCATTACATATATTTTTTTCCAAAAATACAAAAATTCTACAAAAAATAAAAATTTCATATTTTCACTGAAAATAATATATTTCCATTCATTTGTACTAACTCACATTGCCTTATGCCAACGCCGTTGCTTGCTTTGTTAGTCGTTGCTTGTTTACTTGTGCTATATGGGTATAACAACATATCGCACAAGCAGTCGTATGTGTGTATGTATTGGTGCGATTTTAGTTCGTTGTGCTATAGTAGACATCAGTGCCATACGAACGAATATGTGAATGGACAACATGTATGTACAAGCATTTTTTCTTCAGTACAGCAAAGGCAAATGGCAAATATGAAGTTGAGAGAATTTTTGGCGGGAAAAAAATTAGTGGTGGAATTCTTTCCAAAGAAAAATATTTTTAAAACGGTGATTATACATTTTTGAACAAAATTAACGAAATTCAAAAATTTTGGAAAATATTAAAATATTTAGTTTTTGTAACGTTAAAGGGGCGATTTACAAATTTTGAAGAAAATTTACGAAATTCAAAAATTAAGCAGAAAATATTAAAATATTTTTACCATTAGGTATTTGCAAATTATAAAACTTTATGACCTGGATTAAAAAAAAATAATCCATTTGTGGCGTCATTTTGTGGAATGTCCATAAATAAACAGGCACACTTTTACCTAATACTCTAATTAGCAAAATCTATTTTTTCTCCTAAAATTAAAACACATGTGGATTTTCTCATTTATTTAGGTAGTAAAATAATAAAATAATTAGTAAATAGTATGAAATAAATATTTTGTCTCTTTTGAAATTTAATTTGTAGCCCTGAAAAGGGCTGTTAGATATTATGTTTTCGAATATCGAAAAAATTCTTGACAAAGTAATTTTTGTGGGAAAAATTACTTCTTGGCGGCGGCTTTCTTGGCAGCTGGCTTCTTTGGTGCTGCGGCTTTTTTGGGCTTAGCAGCGGCTGTTTTTGCCTTGGGTGCCTTTGGTTTGGTGGCAGATGCTTTAGCGGCGGTCTTTGCGGGTTTTGCCTTAACTGTACCGGTTTTCTTGGCAGCCTTGGCCTTTGTTTTGTCAGCCTTCTTCTTTTCAGCGGTCTTTTTGGCGGCAGATGGTTTTTTGGCAGCTGTCTTCTTTTCGCCGGCAGCCTTTTTAGGGGCGACCTTCTTTTTCTTTTCACCAGCGGCGGGAGCCTTCTTTTTCTTTTCAGCAGTCTTTGCTTTAGGTTCCTTGGAAGCCGAAGCGGACAATTTGAATGAACCAGAAGCACCCTTACCTTTAGTTTGGATCAATTTTCCACTGGCAACAGCACTCTTCAAGTATTTCTTGATGAAGGGGGCCAATTTTTGGGCATCTACTTTGTAGGTGCTGGCCAAATATTTTTTGATGGCTGGCAATGAAGAACCTCCACGTTCCTTCAATGTTTTGATGGCAGCATCTACCATTTGCTGGGTTGGTGGATGAGTTGGAGCGGCTGATGGTTTCTTTGCTTTGGCAGCGGCCTTCTTTGGTGCCTTTTTCTCAACAGCGGCAACTGGGGAGGCGGTGGTTTCAGCAACGGCGGCGTCAGACATGTTTATATTCACTGTTTTATATTTCACTGTTAACACAAATACACTCACAAATTTATGTGTACTACTATTTTGTTATTGGTCGAGCAGTATAACATAGGTACATCGAAAAGATGAGAAGTGCATAGTAGTCAATTGGTATATTTTTCGAATTATTGTGTGGAAGCGTGTTTAATTTTACAAAAGTTTTCACAGAAATTTAATTTTTCCCAGGAAGCTTTAAAAATTGCTGAAAAAGATATTTTACATTTTGAAAGTATAGATTTCAGGCTTCATTTTAAAAGATATTTCATGTTATTATCATTACCGGTTAGCGAGTTATAGACGTTTAACTTCAAAGATTATGAATTTGAAATCACAAATTTCTAACTAAATTTGAAAAAAATCCAAAAAATTTTGAAAATTTTCATAAAATTTCTTTTTGATAATATAGCCTGATATGTTTTCTTTAGGATAAATTAAAAATATTTAGAAATTTTGCATTTTCTATGTGAGAAAAAATTAAATTTATTATGTGGTCTATGACAGCAGAAATCCTCTTGTTGGCATATTTTCAATGAAGAAAACTTTTTCTACAAATAAATTTGAAAGCTCAAATCTTATTAACTTTTATAAAAATTTCTTAAAAAACATTTCAGGATTTGTATATTTACACCAAAATAAAACATTATTCAAAAAGTCATTAATTGTTTGGAAAAGTTAAAAATTCCTTACAATATCATATACTACCAATGGACGAACATTCATCAACAAACGGCAATTTTTTTCAAAATAAACTATTTTGGCAAAAATAAATTAATTATACTTTAATAATATTCTAAAATAATTTATAAATCAGTTATTTATTAATTTTCACAATAATTTTGTCAAATTTTTGCAAAAAAAATTATATTAAAAATAATTTCG